AACCTCAGTAGATTCCTGCTGGGGACCGGGCTTCGCTTTCTTATGTCGATTACGTCGCCGGCGAGATGGCAACGCCTCCTGCTGCTTGCATGCGCTCACCTAAAAGTCAGGTGAGAAGTCAGCATCATAAAACCTGCAGTTGAGGCCTGTGATGGGCATGTATGCTTTGTGACCCGTTTATTTTGTCAGTGTTGGTGTGTGCGTGTCCTGTAGCAATACTCTGCATTTTTCAGACTGCTTACTTGAATTAAGATGGTTTTTCTAAGACTAGACAAGGCGTAAAAGCGATATATAAATTACTTAAACCGTCTAATGGACCAGTGTTATGTAAATACGCATTTAGGGACTGACATGTCTGGAAGATAGAGTTGAGGTGACCCGTACAACTTCTCAAGTTTTAAAGCGGTCAAATCAAATTAAGATTGGCCCTACTCTGTTTTACTCAGCTAGCCATCATAGCGGAACGTTTTGTAACAGTTATCATTAAACTGCATCCATTCCAGTTGCACCAGTATGCTCCTGCCAGGGTCGTGAAGTTTTCACACGCTTTGTTATACATGGTTACTTAATATATGTAAGTAGCAACGTAATCTATTTTTAATTGTCTTACAGATAACGAGGCCGAGCAGCGTTGACTGCGAAGCCCTTGGTGTGAAAGTGCTTCTCACAAGCAACACAACGCTTAAATTTTGTCTCACAGGTAACCACTAGGCAGTAAGATAATTGATGCAAATCATGCAATTAAGGCCACACTGCAGTGACATAGTTAATGACTGGGATAGTGCGTTTTCCATTTAGCTTTGGTGAGGTAGTGGAGACCATGAGTATGTCCAGGTAGCTCCACAGCGGGAGCAACGAAAAGACCAACAGACTCACCGAAGTTGTAGTTCCACTGACAGTATCTTCGACGGATGGAACCGCCTGGTTCGACTCCTCCGGCTGTGAAGACTCTTCTAATTGATTTGCTGGAGCCCTTGGAAGGAATTCAGTGGGGAGAGTCTCCGAGACAGCCTTGACTTCGTCAGATCCATGTGTGCACAATAGCTGCTCTGGGTAGTTCTCCTCCTCCACCACCTTCAGGGCCTCTTCATCTGCTAGCGAGGCGTCTTCTGGCGTCTCAGTGGAGTTTAAACTTCCAGGTTTGAGCATAGATGCAGTGAGTTCGCTTGTCACCTCGCTATCATCTTCAGCAGCCTGCTTCAAGGTTGCTTCATCGTCACTGGCCTTTTCTTCTTCTTCTCCCCAATCCCCAGTCTCTTGGTCTTTGGGGGTCATCGTGAATACTGCCTCTTCGGAGGGCACAGGATAGGCGGTTATAGGTTCTAATATCACCTCATTTTCGTCTTTACTGACCGCTGCTTCCTCTTCTCCTCCGTCAGATGGAGCTGTTGGTGCAAAAGCACCAGGAATTATCTCGGGTTCTGGCGCTGTCGCAGCTGCCGAATTTTCGTCCGTCGTCGCCGCCACGTCCTTCTCCTTCAATACGCCCTCATCCTCATCTAAGGCTGAGGATGAAAGAGTCGTTGGTGGCGAAGTCTCCGGAGGCACAACGGTTTCCGAAACGATCTCGGACACTTTCCTTAGCTCAGTCGTGTCATCTTCATTTTCAGACTCTCCCTCCGACTCCGTCATCTGTTTTGCCTCATAGCTGTCATCTACTGGTGCCGCTGTCAAAGGTATGACGCATTGAGGATGGTAAACTGGGCTTATTGTCGCTTCAGTTACCTCGTTTTCGCCCATGCCCGCCTCTGCCTCCTCCTCTTCCTCCTTCCCGTCCACCGTCTTCTCCTCTTCATCCTCTTCCCTCTCCTCCTCCTCCTCCTCCTCCTCCTCCTCACCGACTGACTCCCACTCCAGCACAGAGGTCTGGCCTTGTATGCGCTGTAGGCAGCTATGAGTCAGAAGAGCTTCAACAAGTCTGATCAGATCCGGAGGAGGTGTGGATGAAAGCTCCTGGCTCCCACTGATGATCGGTTCGCCGGATACGTCAGGTGAAACACTTCCCGGATTGGAGACCACCTCCTCGCTCCCCGACATGTCTGCTACCAGGAGCCCATTGTCTGTGGACTGAATGGGATCCACGTTTACTTCAGGAGGCACCGTTGTTTCTTCTGGAGTTCCGCCGGCTGTTTCGCCACCTGCGGGTTTCTCCGCAGCTGCTGGCTCCATTTCAATAGCTTTCCTCTCCGCTTCCGGACGATCTGACGGTAGGCTGTACTCCTTGATCCAATCATCCTGCATGAAAATAGGAGGTGATAGCGGTCTGTCCACCAGCATTGCCACCTCCTTCGGGGGTTCATTGTGTGGAATTTCGGTTTCGGCATCACATGACAGAGGCTGATATCCAAAAGTACCTAGCTGAACAACTTTTTCGACCCGGGGAGCGGTAAACTGGGCATCGCTGTCAGAAGAATGTACTTCGCCAACCGGTACGCTGGGAAAAAACAGTTGGTCTGAGCGCTCTAATTCTTCATCCTTGTTGATGGCTTCAGTGCTTGGAACTTTGATTTGTCCGGCGGTTTCACCCTAAAAGTTCACCGAAATAATATGTGAGCCATAAATAACCAAAAAGAGGCGGGTAAGTCCTAACAATGTTAGAACTGTTTGCAGTGTTGTCCTCTCGGAATAACTACACTAGACTTCACGGCAAAACTGTCTTGTGCCCAAGTGACTCAGGGAATTCGTAGTTAAAGGGTTAAATACTGGATTAAGGAATGTAAATTCGTGTTAAATTGGGTAGAAAGCGAACAATGAAAAGTAAATTAAAGCCAGTGAACTAAATATAATCAAATCGACCAACATAAACTCCTGTTGCTTAAGTTATTGATCCTTATTGACCAATAAGAATAGTAGACAATTTGTATTGGTGGAAATTCGACCTTATGACTTGCGAACTTTATTTTAGGCGGCTCCACAAGACTTCAAAAACGGTAGCCCCTTGAAAAAATGGTAACTCAATCACCTCGACAGTCATGATCGACAGTCGTGATCGTTAATCTGGACGGTATGACCCTGGTCAGCGTATAACTCACCTGCTCAAGAGCTGCAGCTTCTGGATTTTCATGGCAGACCGATGATTCAGCAGGTACGCGGGCCTGTGACATGACTTGGGTAACTTCGTTGTCTCCAGATAACTCGGCGGGGTGTCCTCCACCTCGCTTCGGTTTTCGCTTCTTCTTGCCCGCCTTCTTGGTGTGGCCAGCGCCTGATTCAATGTTCTAAAAGTTTTGAAAAACAACGACAGACGTCAGTAAGAAGACGGAAGAAGGGAGGGGGTGGCTTATTAGTTATTAGACCGTAAGGGTTGTAATCGAATTTGCAGAGAATATGGCAGTCAGGAATTTAAAAAAGACACGACCTAGAAATAAGCAGAAGAATTAGTTGGCGTTAGGAGCAGTGTAGAGGTTCCCATGCTCCGGGCTAGTAACTAGGAGCGTTGCCAGTCATAACAAGCAAGACGATGATGACGATAATGGCTGTCGCGAAAAGCCAGTTTTCCGCAAACTGAG